TGGGACCCTGAGGTCCGAACCACGGCGCCTTCGGCCAGGACCGCGGGCGGTCCTTAGTTCCCCTCCTGCCCGCTTCGGCCCCCGGTGTGTGTATGTGGGGGCCCGGCGTGTACACGTGTGTGGGTAGGTTGCGAACAAGGTGTAAATTTTCTGGCCCGCCTCCAAAAACATCCTTCCCTGTCGTGAGGATTTTGCTTATGAGCCGAAAGCTCGGTTTCTGCATCTTGTTGTAGCAAGGATTTCTCCCTTCGAGCTTCCAACCCCCGCACTTTTAGGCCCCGCCCTCCTCTTCCTCCTCCTCCTCCTCCTCCTCCTCCTCCTCCTCAGAACTTCGGAGGTGGGAGAGACCCCATTCAACTTCTTCTGGTGGGAGACTCCTCCCCAGGTTTTGTCGGTTCTCGAAATAATTCAGATGGGACGCGGGATAACCGCGTCCAGAGTTTCTAGGCGCGTGCTTGCAAACCACCGTGAGCTTGCGCACCCACACGTTGCGTGTATGCACCTTTACCTTGAGAGTGGAATCCCAAAAACTACGGCAAGTTGGAAGGGATGCAGGACGACCTTTTTTGTTCAAGAGCATGGAGACGTGTGGCTGGGAAGCCGCAGTTGCATGCACCATTCCATATGTATCTCAAGGAGAATCGAGAATTTGGAGAGGGACCTGGCAAGTGGACAAGGGGGAGTCGAGAATTTGGAGGGGGACCTGGAGAGTTTGGAGGGGGAATCGGGAATGTGGATCTCAAGGGGAATCGACAATCCCCCCCAAAGCCTTCTGGCATCTGGCAAGTGGTTGGCTAACCACCGCGCGCGGGACCACTCGCGTTGTGCATGCTCTGCTGCGCGGCAGCGCCCTCGGCCGTTCCGAACAGGAGAGGCGCCCGTTGGGCTCGCTGTCCCCGGTCTTCGGCTTGCATGCTCGGGCCGGCCAGCCTCAGGGGTCCCCAAACGGGGTGGTGACCACACCGTCCAGTGAGTCGGTGGGGATTCGGGGTCGCCGCACGGTCTTGGGACACGGGTCCTTCTCCGAGGACGTCTCGGGCGACAGGGTCCTCCGAGGTCCCAAGACCGTGCGGTGACGGACCTTGCGGTGAGGTCTTGGGGGATTTCGAGGTCACCGCACGGTCTGTCACCGCACCGTTTCGGGACTCCAAACAGCCAGCCCCTGGTATCTGTACCTCCTGCATCCCTCGGGCGTTGCGAGGGGGTGCAAAAGGTGCCGCTTTTCTGTCCCTAAAAGGGCCCCTCCGGGGCCAAATGGGGCACGACAGATGTTCGCTTATCCCCCCAATTCATCGCCCCCACACATTAGACAACGCCCGACTCCCTCGGCGTGCTTGGCGCCAGGCAGGCGCAGCAGCCCCTAGTGGGGCTGATCGGGACGTGCTGCAACATGAAAGTTGGAAGACATGCTACTTGAGCTGTGGGGTAGCTCGCCTCATCTTTGAGCTGGCTGGGAGTCTGAGGTGGCCCAGCAGTAGTCACGGAGAGCAGGAAGGGGGGACAAGGTTCGAGGTCCTGGGTTCGAGACGGTTTCGCATTTTTCGGCCTCCAGGGGCCATTGTTGGGCCTCGGGACTGTAAAACACGGATCTGGGGTGAGGAGTTACACCATGTGGACCCTTGAGTGGTCCAGTGGCCGATGTTGAGCGCATTTGGCCCCCCCATCTTGATCGATGCTCCATCCAGTTCAGACGCCCTGGACGCCCCCAGCCTCATCATCCCTCCTACTTGCTCTGTAGGTGTGCAGCGGCTGGAATCCAACGCGGGTGGCAAAAGCCGACTGGCATTTTCCGGCTATCGGCATGACCGATTTTACAGAGAAGCATGCAGATCGGCGTCTAGGAGGCTTCGATGACTTCGGAGTGTTGAGATGGGTACCTAGGGGAAGCGTCACGGGCCCATAACGGGCAGGATCAGACCAGCTAGCAAGTTGGGTTTGTCTGGTTTGTCGAGCAGGGTGGACATTTCCCAACGTTTTTGATAGTTGTTCTTGAGAGTCAGGGTCACATCCTCGGGAAAGGTTCGGTTGAGCCGAATCGGCATCGGCAGTGAGGGCCTCTGTGAAGGCGGAGGAAAGGCGCTGGAGCGGAGAGCAGGGAGAGGCGAAGGGCGTGGGGTGGGAGGGGACGGGCAGGAAGGAAGGGGGAGTCCTGGTCGTTGTTCTCCTAGGTTTAGGTCGGGCATGTCCGTCTGCAGGAGGAAGATTCCAAAGTAGGTTTAGGAACGTCAGGCGACAATGTGCGGACCATGTTTGGCTATTGTTGCAGATTCTTGGCTATGTTTCGTTTGTCTCTCAAAATCCGCCTGTAGGAGGACATGCCCGACCTAATCCTAGGTCACCCCCAGAGGCGCGAAGATAATCGCGCTTCGTGCGCCGCGGCTTGGGTTGGAGATGCGTCGTTCTCCAAGGCGGCCTCGCGGGGGTGCGAGGATAATCGCGCGTCGCGCATCGCAGAGCGCGATGCTCGATTTTTTTGGTCGCGGCCGCAGGCGAGCGCGCCAGCAGCGTCAAGAATCGGGCGGGCTACGCGCGAAACTAACCGCGATGCCCGAAGCGAAGCGACCCAGTTTTCCTCGGGGAGGAGGCGGATAGAGGTTGCGAGGTGAAGGGATTGGAACAGTCGAGGAAGCCCAAGCATGGATTCAGGTGCGTGCAATGGTGATAGGTCCCGTGTCCGTGCAGCGTCGGCTTCCTCCATCCCAGAATCAGTCAGGAGGGGAAACACACAGACACAATTAATCGTCGACTCCCAGGAAAATATGGGAAAATATGGGAATTAGGCGGGAAGACAACAACCCAGAAAATATGGAAAAATATGGGGAGTCATGTTACTTGTGTGTATTTTTGCGAAGGCCTTACGGCCGGTGCCGCCGACCCTGAATGGCGACGACGACGACGACGAGCGGTCTTGGGGGCCTCTTGGGGATAGTTTGTGGGCCTCTGGGGAAGCTCTTAGGGGCCGCTTGGAAGCCTCGTGGGGGCCTCTTGGGGCTTCCTTGGGGTCTCTTGGAGGGGGCCTGGGACGTCTTGGAGGCTTCTTGGACGGTCTTGGGGCTATCTTGGGCGTTTTCGGCCGATCTTTGGGCGACTCGGGGCCCTCTTGGGCCGTCTCGGGGGCCATCTTGGGCATTCGGACCTCATTTGGAGTGTTTTCGAGGTTTCTAGGCCGCCCGAGGAAAAACGAATCTGCCCCCCCACCCCCCCGGGACCCCCCCCCCCCTGGGGAAGGGATCAAAGGGAAGGGGCTTCCCTTCGACTCGATTACGACACTGCTAGATTTTTCTCTCGCTCACGAGCTTGAGAAGGAAGCTGCAGGGAAAGGGGACGACGGAGGCGACGACCGACGGAGACGACGACTCGAACAGCCAAGCCCCTCGCACACGCCGACAGGGTCGGCGGATCAGTGTGTCCTTGGGCCCCCTGAATCGGGCGGCGCTCGCCACAGGCCTCGGAGGCAGCCGCCCCGACTCGTGGAGCTGGCCCCCGCGCGCCAGCTCCGCGGATCCCCCAATCCGTGTCAGCATGCGCCCAAGAGGGGGAGGAGGAGGAGGAGGAGGAGGAGGAGGAGGAGGAGGAGGAGGAGGAGGAGGAGGAGGAGGAGGAGGAGGAGGAGGAGGAGGAGGAGGAGGAGGAGGAGGAGGAGGAGGAGGAGGAGGAGGAGGAGGAGGAGAGGAGGAGGAGGAGGAGGAGGAGGAGGAGGATAGGAGGAGGAGGAGGAGGAGGAGGAGGAGGAGGAGGAGGAGGAGGAGGAGGAGGAGGAGGAGGAGGAGGAGGAGGAGGGGGGAGGAGGAGGAGGAGAGGAGGAGGAGGAGGGGAGGAGGGAGGAGGAGGAGGAGGAGAGGAGGAGGAGGAGGGGAGGAGGAGGAGGAGGAGGAGGAGGAGGAGGAGGAGGAGGAGGAGGAGGGAGAGGAGGAGGAGGAGGAGGAGGAGGAGGAGGAGGAGGAGCCCATTCCGTTCGTGCAGACCCAGGTCACTTGACTTCGCGCACCGCACCCGGCGGTGCGCGGAGCGCGCGGCCATCTTCGCGGGCTGAGGCGCCGCCGCCCCGAAGAAGGGCGCTTCCGTGGCCCAGGCCGCCACGCGCGGAGCGCGGCCACCTTCGCGCCCCCCCCCCCCCCCCCCGCAGGTGACCCAGATCCTGCACTCCTCTCCGCCCCGCCCCGTCCTCCTCCTTCCCTCCTCCTCCTCCTCCTCCTCCTCCTCCTCCTCCTCCCTCCTCTCCCTCCTCCTCCTCCTCCTCCTCCTCCTCCTCCTCCTCCTCCTCCTCCTACCCATTCTTTCGGTGCCCATTTCGGGCGTCCAAACTGGGATTCCGTAGTCCATGTTCGAAAGAGGAAGGGGCGGGTGGGGAGGAGTGCAGGAATGGGAAGAACTCACGGATGGGGGGCAAGCCCGTCCACGGGCAGAGAAAGGGCGGGGTGGTAGGTCAGGCATCCGCTTGCCTTGAAGACGCAGAGTGCGGCAATGGTGCATGCCACGCTCTCTCTTGGCCCGGCGCGCGGTAGCGATGGCATGACTCGGGAAGCTTGAGGCGGGGGTCATTGCAAACGGGGGTCAGCCAGAGCGCCAGATCTTGCGGGATCCTGCAGAGCCAGGGCTGCATTGACACAGGTTTTGTGCAGAATCCTGCAGGATCTTGCAGGATTGAAGCTTGACTGACCCAGGTGTGCATTGGCCCTGGTCAGTAGATCCCCGAATTAAGAGCAACAGAGTCATTGACGAGCATTAGTAATCCCCTTTCTCTCCCTGCCCCCCCATTCACCTCCCCTTACCTCCCCTGGCGCTTACCTTTTTATTGGGTCGCTCCTGACTGAGCTGTCTGCCATGTTCCACCTTCCCCCCTCCCCCCCTTCCCTCCCCTTCCCTCCCCTATGGGGAATCCTCATTGGGCCCCTTCATTACATCTCATGCTCCTCCTCCTCCTCCTCCTCCTCCTCCTCCTCCTACTCCTCCTCCTCCTCCTCCCCCTCCCCCTCCCCCTCCCCCTCCCTGCTGGTCAGGGAACATGGCCGCGATGCTGCGCGAGAGCGGAAACCTGGAGGAGGCAGAGCGCTTCTACAGGGAGCTGAAGGCCTGCGCAGTTGGCCCGGGAGGGGGGAGGGCGGGGGGGGGATCGGCGGAGGGCCGGAGGTCTCCCGAGGGGGTTAGCGCAGACGGGTTTGGTCCAACCGCCTGGCATAGCTCTCGGCGAGGACCCTGGAGGAGCATCCTGGATCACCGAGCAAACAAAAATTCACGCACGAAACCGAAGAATGCACAGGGAATTGACGTCCGAGCGATGGCAAGACCCTCTCCTCGAAGAGTAGAGACGGCACAAGCATAAATTGTTGGCGGTCCGCGCGAATTCCTTGGATCTGCGCTCGACCCCCCTCAACGGCGCGCGGAGCGCGCCAGGGGCGGCGCCGGAGGCGCCGCCAGGGGGTCCCAGCGCAAATCCAAGCAATCCGCGCGGACCGGCAATAGTTCATGTTCATGCCATGTAATGTTCCATTACAGAAAGGAGGTTGAAGGCATTGTGCTGGCCTAGCCCTCTCAGACCCAACCCCTGAGGAAACCATGACGGTAGAGGATTGCGCGCGGAGCCCAGACCGACGCAGGAGCCCCAGGTTTACGCACCGTTGGGGAAATCGTGGCCATGCGCAAGTGCGAGAAAGCGAAGCACAATTGTGTCAACGTGTTTGTCAGCACGGGCCCCGAGCGGTGGGCTCTTGGAGTCCATGCGGTGTAATCTGATGTGTGATGCGGTGTGAGTGATGCGCGCAACGCAACGTTTGCCAACTCATGAGTTGTCAACTCCACTGCTCGCGGCAAGCATCCCACCTTCCCACCCGCAACGTGTTTTGCACAGCCCATGCGGCCGCGATTGCAGTGACCACATGGCACGGGCCGGCACATCTCTGCTGCTGTGCTAGCGCGCGCGAGCTCGCGCGCAGAGTGGCCAGCGGGGTAGGCACAACCGATGCGGCTGCGATGGCTCTGACCGATGGGAATTTTAGAGCGTCTCAAGGTCTGCGCTGGCGCGTGGGCACTTTAAGCGCGGGTCGGTGACTTGGGCGGGCGCGGTATCATATGCTTTCATGATTACGACGACAACGGCGGCAACGATGTAGCGATGGTGGTGGCGATGGTGAGGACGGCAAGGCCAGTGACGGCGCCGGTGCCGGTGACGGTAATGACGATGATGATGTCCATGTGTCGGTGATGAATGTATGAGTGACTGATGGTGGCGGCAATTGCGGCGATTGACGATGACGGCAATGGCGGTAACGCAGGGAATTTGATGAGGGTGAAATTGAGGAAGTGCGCGAGCGGAAATTCAACAAACCCGGCAGACTCTGTTGAAACGCAGCTCTGTTTTCATATGCTTGTAACAGAGCTCTACTTTGAACTGCGTCGAGGCCCAATCTTGGCATCGCTCGGACGTGTGCATTTTTCCTTCGGCGAGGACCATCGAGGAGCATCCTTGACCATCTCGCGAAAAAAACACGCACGAAACCGAAAAGAACACAGGAAATGGACGTCCGAACGATGGCCAGTGTAGTCGTCTGGTGATTTCAGCAAATGCACGCGCGCAGAACATCTCCCCAAAGTGTCACGAAGTAGCCTAGAGCGTTTTGTTCGTATATTGATTCGCTTTCAGAACTACGCTTTTTGGTATGGTTTCGACGTGCGCGCGCGCGAGTGGACTTTGCGCAACGTTTTGCAATGGGCTCCTGAAGCATCATTTTTTGAGATAGACGAGTGTGCGCGCATTGTGTTAGTTGACAGGGGTGAGGGTGTCAATGCCCTGTTGGTTTGGCACGGCATGATTTCATGTGTAAGGCGAAAGATGGGGCAGAACCGTGCCCAAATAGCAGTGTCCGAGGGCGGCTCAATAACCCCGGAGAGATGGTGGTGGAGTCACTTGTTTCGTAGGAGAATTCGCCAACCGCGCAAGATCTGCACGTGACCACTTCCCATGCTCGTGCAAGCATCCCACCCGCCCAACCGCAATTCGCTGACGAAACTCACCGGGCCATGTTCTCAGCGAGCTCACGGGCACGTGGAACTCAACCGCGCAGACAAGCTGCCCTGCAGGACACGAAGTGACGATGGCGGGGACGGCAACGGCAACAGCGACAACGAAGACGACTGTGGTGAGTGATGGTGAAGACGCTGATGGTGATGGTGGTGATGATGATTATGGTCATGATGATGATCATGATTATTATTCGTAATAATACGATGAAATGATAATGCTGAAGAAGACATGAGAGTGTGGCGTGTTGACGCCTGCCCTATCTGTGCAATCGTGGAATGCCTCTAGTACTTTGTCGTATCAGGTTGTCTGTCGTTTTCTAAGCGGTCGTTGGTGCATTTGGTAATTGTCAGGCCACCGTGGCGTCGTGACGCTTGCTGTGCCTGATTTGTCGTTGGATGCGTTCAATTGTTAGCCCTGCGTTGCCTGCATTCCTGTTTTGTATCCATGCATGTTCAGTCGTTTTTGTAATGCCAAGTCGTCAGGCTTCTTAATGTTATCGGCCGTCCTGCCTGATACTAATAAAATCGGTCGTTGCGGCAGTTGGTGTTTTTTGGCAAACGCGACGTCGTGAGGCCTGTCTTGCCTGCGTAGTCGTGTAGCGCTCCAATCGTTATATGTTGATTTATCTGACGTGTCCCCACTTGTCTGCGATTGTCGTTGCTGCGTTTGGTTATCGTCGGGCCGGGGGGGGACGTCGTAACGCTTGCCATGTCAGATACGCCGTAAAATGTGTGCACTCGGTTGTCTCATTAATTCCTTTGTTGCTGTCTAAGTGTAATTGATCATTGTTGCGCTGGGCGTTTCTCAGGCCAGCGTGACTTTGCGGCGCTTGTCTTGTGTAATCGGTCGTCGTATTTCTTGGGGGTACGCCTTACTACGTCTGTTGATGTGTAATGTGGTTTCCATGTGTGTACATGGATGTTTGTTGCTTCACATCCGTGATTGTTGCGCGGGCATATGTTACGTGCGCGGTGTGTACGCCTGTATTGCGTGCGTGTCATATAGTTGCATCGTGTATGCAAGCCTTCCGTGTACATGTGCATTAGTTGTGATTGTTATACGTGCATGATGTGTTTTATTGGTGTAAATGGTGTGCGGTTGTTATGGGCCTCTGTTTCGTTGTGCATGCTGCGCATGCTTTTTGCGTGTTCGTATTATCGCTGTGTTGTTCGGACTTTCTGTTGATGAGTTTCGTGTGTGTAAGCTATTCGCCGTGTCCGTCCTCTCTGCACGTACCTTCATGATGTTCTCATTTGTGTTGAGGCCGCGAAGCGAGGCACTCGGGGGCCATCGGGCCCCTCCCTCTCCTATCTTCCCGCTCCTCTTTCCTCTCAATCCCTCCCCTCGTCCTCCCTTCCTCTCACTCTCCTCCTCTCTGTTCCTCCTGCCTCTCCTGCTGGTCCTCTTCCTCCTGATCCTGCTGCTTCTCTCCCATTCCTCTCCCCCCTCACTCCTCCCACGTCGGCCGAGCATTCGACAGCCATCGAGTACACCCACAGGTTCTGGACAATGATGCGGGATGGACGGGTCCGATTGTCGAACCCGTTGGTCAGGTGAAGTAAGAGGACGAGGAGGAGGAGAAGGAGGAGGAGGAGGAGGAGGAGGAGGAGGAGGGGGAGGAGGGGGATGTCGAGGAAGAGAAGGAGGAGAAGGTGGTAGGAAGGGGAGGTGGAGCAGCAGGTGAAAGACCAGGAGGAGGAGATGATGAATCCTAGGTGGATTTCCGCTGGCTCTCGCAAATGGTCTCGATGTGTTGCCCGCCTTCTGGCTGGAAAATAGTGTTCTGCATGATGACGATGACGATGATGATGCTGCTGATGATGATGAGCATGAAGCTGAATCTGAAGATGACGATGAATATGAAAATGGTGAATATGAATATGATGATGATCAGTTGTATGATTATAATGACGATGGTGATGCTGATGTTTATGTTGATGATGATGCTGATGCTGATGCTGATGCTGATGCTGATGATAATGATGATGATGATGATGATGATGATGATGATGATGATGGTGATGGTGATGGTGATGGTGATGGTGATGGTGATGGTGATGGTGATGGTGATGGTGATGATGATGATGATGATGATGATGATGATGATGATGATGATGATTCATTGCGCGGTAGTAGAGTTATCCTCCCACCGTGGCATGAAATTTTGGCAACGGACAGAGCGCAGCATTGGGACAAAAGATGCAACGCTGGAGCAGGGCGGCCACAAACAACCCCGACATCTTCGATGGCGAAGGGGTGCTTCTCTGGAATCCTGGTGTTTCTCTCTCCCCCTTCCCGGCCGCAGCCGCTGCTGCTGCTTCTTTTCGAGGCGATAGGGCTCTCCACTGGTCTGCCCACAGGCGTGGGCGGGTTGCCCGCGCTGCTGCAAGCTCGAGCTTGGCATCGCTCGGACGTGTGCATTTTTCTTTCGGCGAGGACCATCGAGGAGCATCCTTGACCATTTGGCGAAACAAAAAACCACGCATGAGACCGAAGAAAGCACAGGGAATGGACGTCCGAGCGATGGCCAGCGAGGTGCCTGACCTCTCGCCGCTCTCAGCCTTGGGACGTTTTTTGGGGGCTGGGCTCGGGCCGCCTTCGAGTCCTCCAGACCCAGGCGTCGCGAAAGAAAAAAAGTGCTCGGCCTCTGGAGGCTGGTCTCCCGGCCCCAGGACTGTCCAGAAGCCGCTCGGGATGGAAAGCTGGCCCGAGGGAAGGGGGCGAGATTTCTGGGGGCCCACCCATGTCACGAAGCAAGTGCGAAGTCGACAGAGAGGGCAGTTTTCTGGGACTCTCTGGGTTGTCTCGGCGTCCTGCGAAATCTTCCTGAAGCCACATGAGGTCGAGAAGCTTGGGAAGCAATATCCATTGCAAAATCCAAGTTGTTCTGAGATGTTGCCTCTCGGGATACAGTTAACCCGCGTAGAAAGGGTGAGCTACTTCCCGAGGTTACCTTTGCATCCTTCCCCTTCGGCCCATCCTTGGCCGCTTTCGCTGGCCGCGCCCCGCTCGCAAGGTGTCGACATGGCCTTCCAAGGCCCTTGCATCCTTGCCGTGCGTACTTCTCCTACGGGTTGACTCTGCTGCTGGGGAGCTCCTTGGCGGTTCGGTGGGGCCGGCTGCAGCTCGCGCGGAGGCAGTCTGCTGCACGCGAGAGCGGCCCCTCGCCGGAGTGGCCCCCTGGTGCGCCGCTCTGGGGGGTCGAAGGGGAGGGGGCCCAACCCGAGCGCTGCACGCAACGCTCGGACACCCGCGCGCCAGAAGCCCTTCCCGCCAAGGGTTCCCTCCAGCGCGTGGCCGACTCCGCCGCCCGTGCCGTGGGGCAGCGTAGACTGGGCAGGGTCGTCCTGGCCGCTCTCGGGGCTCAAGAGACAGGAGTCAGTGCAAACGGGGTTCGGTCAGAGCGCCGGATTTTGCAGGATCCTGCAGGGCCAGGGTTGCATTGACCCAGGTTTGGGTGCAGGCCTGCAGGATTCTGCAGGATCTTGCAGGATCCTGCAAAGCTTGACTGACCCGCGTCTTGATTGATCTGGGTCAGTAGATCCCCGACCCTCCTCCGGCATCGACCCCGTCGACAGCCTCGCGCTGAGGAGATCAAATGAGATCAAGTCTTGGGCCCTTGGCCCAGAATGCCAAACAGACGGCTACGGTGACACAAGATCACGAGGATGAGTGATTTTGAAGGGGTTCACTTGCATCATTTCCCCTCGGTCCTTCCTAACCCTTAGCCATTGGCCAGTGGCTTCCAACTTTGGCATCAATTTGCACGTCCGGGGGCCTTGCATCATTTCCGCGCGTCCTTATGACCCGGTCTCCCGGTAACTGTGCCGTAGCCATGTTGGCTCAAGCCATTCCGGCTAAAGAATGAGTTCGCGCTCAGGTTTTGGTGTGGCCGCCCCCAGCGATGCCAGGGGACGCGGGAGAGGGCAGAGAGAAATTGCCGCCCTTGGTCTTCTTCCGGATCACGGTCCTCGGTAGTTCGAATTCGGGAAAGACTTCACTCATCAATTCCTACGTGAATGGCGTGTGTCCCGCCCGATACACCAAGACCGACAAAGTGGTATTGTACTACAGAAAGGTCGAGATCGAGGACGATGGCGAGGTTGAGGATGTCCGGAAAGCCGTCCTTGTGGAGATCGAGGATACCCCAGGCTCGGAGCGGGGGTCCGACGAGGCCGAGTCTGGCAACCAGCGTGTGGGACCCGGGGCCCCGAAGATCCAGAAGGGCTCGCGGGTGGTCTTGGAAAAGGACAAAGACAAGTTGAGGGAGATGATGAAGAACAACGCAAAGTTTGAGCAGATGATGAGGAAAGGTCTGGAGAGGATGATGGGTCGCGATCACATCGTGCGGGATGTGCTCCCAGACGGCACGTTCGGGCTGCCTTCCCACGATGGCTCCGACGGGGGCGTGTGGCACTTCCCGAAGGACGCGGTGTCGCTGAAGATATCGCTGGACATGCCCATCGACAAGTACCTGCACTTGGATATCAAGGACTTGCGGAAAGTAGATGCCAAGATGACAGCCAAAGAGTTGAGCAAGTTCAAAGAGGACCTCCAGCGTCCCTTCTCCGCTGGCGAGCGTCCGGTAAAGCATCCAGACGAGGACAGAACAATCACAAAACAGAGGATGGGATATTTCCTCTGTTTTGACCTCTCAGATCCTGAGAGTGACTCGCTTCGGGAGGCTATGAATCTTTACAAAATGTTGCTCGATTCGGATAAGGATGCGAGGAAAATCATGCCAAAGGTTTGGCTCATCGGTTGCAAGCAGGATAGATCCAGCGACGCCACAGTGATCAGGAGGAATAAGCAGAGCGCTATGAAGTTTGCGAACGACAGGGAAATTCCTTTCGCAGCGACGTCTGCGAGAGACCACAAGGGCGTGCGCGAAGCTTTTGGGGACATGATCCGGGCGATATCCTCATGCGAGATCCTGTGGAGGATGGAGGAGGCAGACGACGGCGGCGACGATAAAGACGAGGAGTCAGGCTGTCAGTTGCAGTGAGAGGGTCTGGGTGGTCCTTCCCTTTCCAGTTTCACAGTAGTTTCACTTCTTGTGGCCACTCTACCACTTCCTCCGACTCTCCCTCCTGCCCCAGGGCGGCGCGAAAGCTGGCGCGGCGCGAAAGCCGAACGCCACGGCGATTCTTCCAGCCCCAGGTGAACGAAAAGACGGCACATTCTGTCGGAAGCTTCAGGGTGTGGAGGTGAAGCATTAGCAGGAACATGATGGAGAGCAGGATTTAGAGGAGGAAGAGGTGGATGAGCAGGAGGAGGACGAGCAGGAGGAGGAGGAGGAGCAGCAGCAGCAGCAGCAGCATCAGGAGTCGCAGGGATGCGCGTCGTGTTCAGGGCTCGCTTCAGCAGGAGTGAGATCAGGGTGAGCAGGAGGAGGAGGAGGAGGCGAAGGAGGAGGAGGAGGCGGAGGAGGAGGAGGAGGAAGAGGATGAGCAGCAGCAGCAGCAGCAGCAGGAACGCGAGGAGGGCTAGGAGCAGGAGGAGGAGGAGGAGGAGGAGGAGGAGGAGGAGGAGCATCAGCAGGAACCCGAAGAGGACGAGGAGGAGGAGGCGGATGATGAGGAGGAGGCGGAGGACGAGGACGAGGCCGAGGAGGAGGAGGAGGGCCGGGGCGGAGGACGAGGACGCGCCTGGCCGCGGCCCGCTGGCCCGCCGCCAGGCGCAGCAGGCGCGCCGGCCCCGGCGCGGCGCGCGGACCGACGACGGCGGCGACTGCGGCCACGGTCGTCCACACGTGCGCGCACGTACACGCGTGCGCGCACGCGCACGCACACGCGCACGCACGCACGCACGCACGCACGCACGCACGCACGCACACACACACACGCACGCACGCACGCACGCACGCACGCACGCACGCACGCACGCACGCACACACACACACACACACACACACACACACACACACACACACACACACACACACACACACACACACACACACACACACACACGCGCACACTTGTTTTGGCGTCGTGGCCCTGCGCGTGGCGGCAGGGCGGAGAAGCACACACACACACATATACGTACATACCTTCTGACTTTCCTGCATACCTACTTACCTACCTACCTACAAACATATCTATATGTATATGTATATATACATATATATATATATATATATATATACGGGGCTGGTGCCATTCCGCCGACCTACAAGGAGTGAGTGTTTGATACGATCGTGGAAGTTATATCTTTGGTCAGGAGCCTCCTGGAGGAATGCGAGGGTCTCCTGGGATGCCTCTCTGGGGCCTCTTGGAACATGCTGGAAGCATGTGGGAGGCTTTGGGGGACCTCGCAGGAGCTTCTCGGGGGCGTCTTGGGATGCTTTTGGGGGGCCTCCTGAAGGGCCCTCGGCGGCCTCATGGGGGGCTCGAGGGGCTACAGTCGGGGCCCTGAAGAAGGAACCCTTTTCGTTGGGGAGGGGCTCCGCGTTCCTTAAGTGTTTCGCAGCTTGCCTCAGGTTTTCCTTATGTTTTCGATCGGAAATCGAAGTTTAACTCATGGAAAAAAGGGGCCTCGTTCCTTATTTTGGGTTCCTTAGGTCAAGCCCCCGACTGTATCTCGGTGGGGAAAGCCTGAAATGTGAGTTCGTAGTCCCACTCTTCGGCTTTCTTGGAGCTCTCTTGGGGCCCTCCCTGGGCTGTCCGGGGGGGCCGTATTCGGGGGCCCCTGGGGCTGTCTGTGGGCTATCTTAGGGCCTTCTTGGAGGCGTCATGGGCCGTCCTGGGACGCACTTGGTCCGTCACGCTCGCTCTGAAAACTCAAAATGCGAACGTTCTGAGAATGCACGTTTTTGTTACAGGGAATTCGATAATTCTGACCTCTTGAGGCCCTCTCGGCGATCCTCTGTAGAGGCGCTTTGGGCTGTCTTGGGGGCCTCGTCGGCTATCTTGAAGCCATCTGGGGCTACCCTGGGCCGTCCTGACGCTCTGGCGCTCTGTCTGGGCCCTGCTCGGCTGCCTGGGGGTTTTTGGGGGCTCCAGAGAGGCCCGCGGGACGTTTGGCGGGCTCGTTTCCCCCCCCCCCCCCCCATAATTGGATTTTGGACCCTGGGGGACGGGGAAAGGGTGATGGGGACAGCCAAGCGGGGGTCACCCCCGGCAAGCGGGGGTCGGCCACATACACACATGCAGACATACACACATATTCGCACATACACACAGGCATGCATGCATACAGACACACCATTCATATATGAACTCATATACACACATGCGTACTCACAAACATACGTACACACCTACCTACCTACCTACCTACCTACCTACCTACCTACCTACCTACCTGCCTACCTACACACATACATACATACATACATACATACATACATACATACATACATCATGCATGCATGCATGCATGCATGCATACATACATCCGTACATCCATACGTGCGTACATGTATACCTACCTAGCTAGCTACCCACCTACATGCACACATACAGACATGCATACATACATACAACCATACATACATACATACATACATACATACATACATACATGCATACACACATACAGACGTACACGCAGACATACATCCTTGTCTACATACGTGCATCCATACACGCATACATACATACATGCATACACAGATACGCACATACACATGTATGTATACATATACACACGCGTACACACATGCACACATGCATATATGCACACATACTCACGTGTATACGTACATGCACGCACCAACGCATACACACAACCATACACGCATTCATTCATACATGTGTACATGCACTCATACGTACATGCATGCATACATACATGTGAATACACATCTACAAACGTACATGCATACGTACATACATACAAGTATAATTACAATTATGCACATCTACATACATATATGCATACACACATGCATGCATGCATGCATGCGTACATACATACACATGGTCGTGCATGTATACACACATTCATACATTCATGCGTGCACACATACATATACACATACATACATCCATGCATGCGTGCATACATACAGACAGACAGACAGTCAGAGACAGACAGAGACAGACAGAGACAGACAAAGACAGACAGACAGACAGACAGACAGACAGACAGACAGACAGACAGACAGACAGACAGACAGACACATCCATCCATCCATCCATCCATCTATACAGACATGGTTGTCCTGCCCGTTTCGTTTGAGACATCCTTCCAATACTGAGCTCCAAGATGTCGCTCGCGAGGTGGTCTGGCCCGTTTCGATTGAGCCATCCTCGCAATGCGAGGCTCGATGATGTTGCGCGCGAGATGGTCTGGCCCGTTCTGCCTGAGACGTTTCGTAGCACGGGGGCTCCAATCACAACCTCTCTCATTCCTTCTCCCGCCTCCCTCTTCCCACTTCCTGCCTGTCTCCTCTTCCCTCCTCCCGCCTCCTGTCTCCCGCTGCTGCGCCTCTGCCTCCGCTTCCCCGTCCCCGCCGTCGTCGTTTCTGCCGCCTCAGCATCCGTCATGCGCGCACTGCCTTCCGCCCTCCCCAGACATCCGACGTCACGGGTTTTCTTTCGAGGCGTGCGCAGCGTATTTCTCGATATCATCCCGGGGGGAACCATCACGACATGCCCCCCCGCTTCCGCGCCCTCCCCCGCTTCCTCTTACAGTTGCTTCCGAGTTCACAGCATGGCGGTGGAGCCTCTCGCAGTGCCGACCCGACAGCTTACTCGTCGACCAGGTGCGAGAGAGTACGACACCATCTAGCGTTAGCTTCCTGATAGGTATGCGTTACACAAGTTTTCGGGCAAACGTCTCATGTGCAAACATCATTTAGTCATGTTCTAACATGCCATGCCAGTCTGCACTGGACGGGCGCGCGATCGACCTTGGAAACCGCAGTGGGTCTAAAAACCCTGTTCGGGGATATTGCACTCCGGCTATCATGTTTTCCGCCGTGTGTGTCACAGTGTGTGTGTGTGTGTGTATGTGTGCGTGTGCTTCCACAGAACATGCGGCTCAGCGTGGTGTCCAGCGGGATCCCCGCTCCCACCAAGAGCCGCCCCCGCCCGTGGGCGGGAGGTCTCAGGCCTCTTTTTGAGAAGGAACCACCCATCCAGCCGTGCAGGTTCGACGTGTGTTCAAGCTTCTGGCCGCCTGGCCTCGAAGTTCGTGGACCCCATACAGGGGGATTTTCGACGACAAATAAGACATACCCCCAAAAATGCTCCAAGATGCCCAACAAGTGTTCAAAAAATAGTCCCCAGATTGTTTTGTCTGCCTGGTTGTGAGTATTCCTCCTGTAGAGGGACGGGCCCGACCTAAGGGCAGAAGCATATGAGGTAGGAAAGGCGCTGGACGTAGATGGAGCCTCCGCCCACCAAACGGGAGCCTCACTCCGTGAAAAGGGGCAGCTCTCCAACTTCGTACAGTCAACCCGCATCATGGGCGACCTTCCCAAGGCGCACCCTTGCATCATTGCCCCTTCGGCTCGTCCTTGGCCGCGTTCGCTGGCCGAGCCCCGTTCGCAAGGTGTCGACATGACCTTCCGAGACCCTTGCATCTTCATCGCGCGTCCGTACGGGTTGACTGTAACTGCTGGGCACTTTTAAGACGAATACGTGCGGCGTTAAGGCCACCGTCTCATATCAAGGCGCCCCCTCCCTCCATCCGTGCAGTTATTGCACACTTGTTGGACGAATGTGCGTGGCGCCAGAGCGATTTCCAGTTTGAGGGCGACCCCCCTCCATCCGTGTAACAGCTGCGAAGTTCAAGTCTCAGGGCCATAGCTACACGAGGAAAATCCATCGGGGCGGGGGGGGGGGCGGGGGACGACAAGAGCATGGCGAGGACTTCTCAGGTGAACGGCGCGGCCGGCCCGGGCGACACAGCTTGCTGGTGCGACGGGGAGGGGACGTCTACAGGGAAGACGAATGAGCTGGAGGGAGGAGATGTCTACAGGGAAGGCGGCTGTCTAGAGGGAGATGTCTACATGGAGGAGACGTCCGCGGAAACGGAAGAAAAGGACTTTGGAGGAGGAACGCGCGCAGTGGAGGGCGGGAGTTGCACGTTCGGGCGAGGGGAGGCCATGCGTCAACGTTTCTCAAGGCCTCCTGGCCCCTGCAGGAGAAAAAGATGCAGGGATTGAGGGACCGACTAAATTCAGGATGGGAAAAAAACACAGACACAATGATTCGTCGATTCCCAGAAAATATGCGAAATTATGGGAAGTGGG